AAGCCAAACGGGTTTTGGCTATAGCAGTTGATTTTAATCCTATCCATTCTATTCCAAAGGTTAGGGCATTTCTTATCTCCATTCCAAGGTTACTCTATTGTTCTATTAAGCTACAAGGAAGTAACTGAAGGAGATTATCCTAAGTAAAGATTATGTAGCTTAATCGTGATTGTTCGTAGTTAAAGTGATTAACTACCCGCCTGGCACTTAGTTAAGGGGTTTTACGGACTTATTCCCTTCCTTAGTCCTGTTAATCCCTAACTCCAGGGAAAAAATCCCCACCTGGGGAAACAACCTTTCTCAGAGAGGTGACCTTGGTTAAAACACATAGTGCTAAGAAGGGGAGCAAACATATTAAGAACAGTATGCCATATACGCCAGGTCCCTTGAAACATCTGCTGTGCAGATGTTTCTTCCCCGCAGTGACTGAGTCAAGCAGCAAGGATGAACCAGCTTCCAGCAAATTCCCCCATTTTTATTTTTCAAATGACAGCGCATGTCAATCAGCAGCCACCTCTCAGATTGGGTTGTTTGTGACTTTGCCAACAGGTCAGTCCGAGGCTTAACCCTATATCGGCTCCCCACACTGAGACATGGAAATAATAGAGGATGAGCCTTGAGCCTCTTATGGTATCAGAAAGTAAGGACGTGCTATAAAAAGGAAAAAAGAAATGATGGCTTGTTGAAAGAACAGGAGCCAACTTGAAGAAGCTCCTAATGGACAAAGCTAAAACAATTTGAGCAACAAAATAATGGTAGTATTAAATTTTAACCTATAGAATAAAATATATAAATATGGGTTTATACTAATATAAATGACCAAATAAATAAATGGGAGGAAAGAGACAGGTCTTCCTCATAATATCAATGAATAAAGGTAGAATGAGGGAAATAGAGAATCACCATTAGGCATACTACAGTAATAAATGTTGCAGTCAGAATCTATGCATGCTAAAATTTCTGGGTGACAGTTTGAGAAAGGAGATGCATAGTTTTAAAGTATCTCCCCCAAATACTTATCAAGTACAAAGGAAAAGTATCTTTCAAGTGTAGGAACTTGGGAGACAAGATAAGCATCACCAGTGATAAGACATCCAGGGTGGGCAAAAGTAGGTTTACCGTTGTGAGTATGTAAAACAGAGTAGTATATTCTTTGAATGGCCGACCAATGACAGAGACCAAGTGCCCTTCCCTCCACGTCTCCACAAGTAGATGTGTCCACGCTGTGTAACAGTCCCCACTGAGCCCCTGCCCCTTCCAGTCAGGGTTCTAATGGGTTGATAGTTTTCTGTGCTGGCCACGTTGGTTCCAAAGATCCTTTGGAGGGGGTCAGGGGAGACCGCCTCAACTGGGAGCTCTGAGCAAAGCAGCTGTAAGAATAACGACCCTAGAGGTGCTCCCGGGCCCTCGGCCACTTTCCCACAGGAGCCTGGTGCCACTGCTGCAGTTCTGTAAGGGAGGAGGGGGCCTTCCGGCTGTCCTGTCTGCCTGTGCAGGCCCGTCTCAGATCCCTGCTTATCGAACAGTCCTGACCTACTAGTAATGTCTCCCCTTCAGGAGCAGTCTGGGCATTGAAAGCACCTGGGAGCCGAAACCGGTTTGGCTCAGTGGAGTAGTATATTCTTGTATTATTATGTATTGTATTTCCATATGAAGAGCTGTAAGCCTACTTTTGCCCATCCTGTATTAACATCATTAACCTCCTGATGATACAGTGAAGGACATCATCATTCTTGTGGTATTCTTGCCAAAAATGTATAGGCTTACCCCAATCATGAGGCACTCAAACCCAAACTGAAGAACACGACAAAATAACTGATGAGAGCTCCCCAGAAGTGTCAGGATCATGAAAGACAAGGAGAGACTGCAGAACTGTGAAGGACGGGAGGAAAAAGCAGAGGAAATGCAATGTGGCGTCCTGCTCAGAATGCCAGGACAGAAGAGAGGCATTAGAATTATTTTTAAGGACTACATTTAAATATTTGTGAACTTCCAAAAAGGTCAGTAGTTAATAATACTGTATTCAGGTTAATTTCCTAGTCTTAATCATTATACTGTGATCAGGTAAGATGTTACCGTAGAGGAAGCCAGGTGAGAGATATAAGGGAACTCTTTGTACTATTTTTACAGCTTTCCTTTGGTCTAAAATTAGTTCAAAATAAATGAATATTGAAGATGTGTTTGAAGCCCAGTAGAGAATGCTGATGTTTGATTGTTCTTGTATCTGTAACAGGGTTAGAAAGAAGCTTTTGGAACATCGGGAAGAAACATTAACGATAGATCGGGCCTGCAGACAGGAAATACTTGCTTATGAGATGGTAAGAGTCTCATCTTGTTCACCTTTTCCCATGAAACCATGAGCTTCGTCATTGGGTGCGGGCCAATGGTGCCTGTGTGGTGGCTCTATGTTGGGTATGCTTAGTTGAAAGCAAACTAGAGAAACTTTATTGGGGCTGGGGAGTCATCTTTCATCTCCTTTGTTAAATCTGTTACTACATAGTTTATTTTTTATGCTATTTTAAATAAAATTGTTTTTTTTAATAGGTTTTATATCCTGCAATTTTGCTTAATTTTTTTTATTAGCTGTCACAGGGTTTTTGTGTGTGAATCCTTTACACTTTCATACACTGAAGCTCATGCATGGGCCCTGGCTGGGCAGTTCAGTTTGCTAGAGTGCCCTCCCCATGTGCCAAGGTTGTAGGATCGATCTCTGGTGAGGGCACATACACGAAGCCACCAATGAATGTGTAGATAAGTGGGACAGCAAATCAATGTCTTTGTGTCAGGGACTTTATGTGGTGATTGTGCAGATATTCCTTGAGTTCTTAAACTAAGATCTCACTCTAAATAAAAATGTTTTTAAATTTTAAAAAAAGATAATGTATGTATTTCTCTGTAAACAGATAACTTTATCTCTTTCCAGTTTGGTTTACTCACTCTCTCTTTCTTCCTTCTTCCCTTTTTCCCCCTTGCCTAATTGCTCTGGCTAGAATTTCTAGTACTGTGTTGAAAGAAGTGACAAAAGTGCACATCCTTATCAGTTGTCACTGTGGACATCACTGATGATGTCCTTCACTGTATCACACTGAGTGTGATCTTCGCTGTGAATTTTTCACATATAGCCTTTATCAGGTTGAGTAAATTCCCTTCTATTCCTAGTTTGTTTAAGTGTTTTATCATGAAAAAGAATTGGATTTGTCAAATGCATTTTCTTCATCAGTTGAGATGATGATGTAGGTTTTCCTGCCATCGTTCTATTAGTGTGGTATATTACATTGATTGATTTGTATGGGTTGAACTTATCCTTGTATCCTGAGTGTAAGTCCCACTTGCTTGTGGCATATAATCTTGTTTATACGCAGTTGAATTCAGGTTGCTAATATTTCGTTGAGGAGTTTGGCATTTATGTTCATAAAGGATATTGGCCTTGAGTTTTCTTGTAGTGTTTTTGTTTGACTTTGGTTTCAGCGTCTACTGATCTCAGAATGAGTTAGGAAATATTCTCTCAACTCTTCTGAGTTTTTTGAAGACTTGGAGAAGGGTTAGTGTTATTAACTTCCTTTGCTATTTGGGAGAATTCACCAGTGAAGCAATCTCCTCGGCTTTTCTTTGTTAGGAGGATTTTAATTGCTAAGTCAGTCTCTGCGTATAGATCTGCGTATTGATTTTCTATTTCTTCCTGAGTCTATTCCTTCCTGCTAGCTTCAGGTTTAGCTTGCTCTTTTCTGGTTCCTAATTGTATACAATTAGTTACTGATTTCAGATTGTTCTTTTTAAGGTAGGTGTTTATAGTTCTAAGGTTTTCATTTTTTGTACTGTTTTTGCTGCACTTCATACATTTCTTATCTTGTGTTTTTATTTTCATTTGTCTCAAGGTATTTTCTGATTTCCTTTTGACCCATTGGTTATTTGTGAATGTGTTGCTTCATTTCCACATATCTGAATTTTTCAGTTTTCTTCCTGTTATTGATTTCTAGTTTCATCAATTGTGATGAGAAAAGATACTTTTTATGATTTTAGTCTTTTTAAATTTATGAAGTCTTGGTGGTCTGTCTCGAGAATGGTCTGTGTACTTGAGAACATTATGTATTCTGCTGCTGTTGGATAGCGTGTTCTGTAAATCGCTTAGGTCTTGTTGGTTTATAGTGTTGTTCATGTCTTCTATTTCCTTAATAATTATCTGTCTCGTTTTCTACTCATTGAAATTTGGGTTTTGAAGTTTCCAACTATTGTAAAACCATCTATTTCTTGCTTTAGCTCTGTCAATTTTTGATTTATGTATTTTGGGGTTCTGTTTTTAACTGCAGGTATGTTTATATTTACTGTTTCTTCTTGCTGGATTGCACCTTTTATCAATATACAAGGTGTCTCAAAAATGTATACACACTTTGAATAATTGTAAAGTCAGTGTTTATTAAAATACATTGCATTTTTTAAAAATGAGCTATCACCTGTTAAAGTGTGTATACATTTTTGGGGGAACACCCTACGAAAGCCCTTCTTTGTCTTTTGTAACCTCTTAACTTAAAGCCTATTTTGTCTGATAACAAGACAGCCATCCCAGCTTCAGCCTTCTTTTGGTTACTGTTTGCATAGAATATCATTTTCTGTTCTTTTATTTTCACCTTTGTGTCTTCATATCTAGAGTCTCTCAGAGAAAGAGAGAGAGAGAGAGACAGAGAGAGAGAGAGAGAGAGACTGTGTGTGTATGTGTGTAAAGTTTTTTATCCAATCTGCCAGTCTTTTTGCCTTTTTAATGGGACAATTTAGTCCATTTACGTTTAAAGTAATTACAGGTAAGGACTTACTTCTGTTTATCTATTTGTATGTATATATATTTTTGTTCCTCAATTCTTCTATTCCTGCGTTTTTTGTATTTAGTTGACTTTTTTGTGGCCTATCATTTTGCTTCCCTTCTTTTCCTTCTATATATGTTCTACTTATTTTCTTACTGGTTACCTTGAGGATTACAGTTAACATCTTAAATTATAGCCCTAACCGGTTTGGCTCAGTGGATAGAGCGTCGGCCTGCGGACTGAAGGGTCCCAGGTTTGATTCTGGTCAAAGGCATATACCTTGGTTGCGGGCACATCCCCAATAGGGAGTGTGCAGGAGGCAGCTGGATTGATGTTTCTTTCTAATCAATGTTTCTAACTCTCTATCCCTTTCCCTTCCTTTCTGTAAAAAAAAAATCAATTAAAAAAATGTATTTAAATAAATAAATAAATAAAATAACCTAGTTTTGATAATACCAACTTTGTTTTAGTAATATCCAGAAGAATCAGTACACTGTGCCTATACATCTCCATCCCTCCCCCTTTAGATTGTTATTGTCACAGATTACATCTTCATATATTATCTACATGTCTATTAACAAATATATAAATACTGTTTTGTGTGTTTGAATAAAAGAAGTTATAAACCAAAAGTATAGTAATACCTGGCTTTCATATTTACTTATGTAGTTTATCTGAAAAAATATTCCAATTTCTCCCTCATCTTGAAGGATAGTTTTTCCAGGTATAGAATTCTTGGCTGACAGGGTTTTCTCTCCCCACCACCCTCCATTGCTTTTAATGTGTAGTCCCACTGCCTTCTTGTCTACATAGTTTCTGGTGAGAAATTGGCTGTTGATCTTATTAAAGAACCTCATTTTCTTTATCTCTCTGTATATAGTTTTCTTTAGGTCATTGAGTACATTTAAGGCAGTTGATTTAACATCACTGACTAGTAATTTCAACATCTGGGCTCCCTCAAGGGTGGTTTCTGTCAAATTCTTTTTTTCTTGTAAGTGGGCCATATTTTCCTGTTTCTTTGTGTGTTTTATAAGTTTTTTAATGAGAACTGGACATTCTGAGTGTGTTTATTACTTGTTGAGGGCTGGAGCTATTTGGGACTTTTCCAAACTACTTTTCCAAATTAGTATTTTGTGTTGTGTATTATCACTGATGTTTTTGTTTCATTATCTCTGTGGTCAGCCAGTGACATTACTTAAATGTCTATCTCCACAAATGAGAACAGGTCCTATCCCTTTAAGTCAGCGGTTCTCAATCTGTGGGTCACCGCCCCTTTGGGGTCAAACGACCCTTTCACAGGGGTCGCCTAAGACCATCGGAAAACACATATATAATTACATATTGTTTTTGTGATTAATCACTATGCTTTAATTAAGTTCAATTTATAACAATGAAAATACATCCTGCATATCAGATATTTACATTACGATTCTTAACAGTAGCAAAATTACAGTTATGAAGTAGCAACGAAAATAATTTTGTGGTTGGGGGACACCACAACATGAGGAACTGTAGTAAAGGGTCGCGGCATTAGGAAGGTTGAGAACCACTGCTTTAAGTTTCCAATAACTGCTGTTGGGGGAAGCCAAAACCAAGGCAAGTTTTTGCCCCAGTAGTTCAGAGCATCACTAGACCAACCCAAACACACAAGCACTAACACTTGGAGAACAGGGTCCCCACTGCCTGTCCTGGCATCAGCCACCATTTCTAGGCCCATGGGCTGCTATTTCCACATCTGCAGCAGGGCTGAAGAAGGGGGGAGTGGGTGGTAGTTGGTTTGTACCCTCTGCTCATTTATGAGAAATCAGCAGCTTGTCCCTGCTTTAAGCACTCCCCTGGTTGATATGAGTATCTGATCAGGTTCCACAGTTCGAAATGGTTCATTCCTGTCTCTCTTCCCATCTTACTGGTTGCTTTGGTGGCGGGACTGATCCTCCGTCACCATTTTGTGCGATATCACTCCCACTGACTTTTAAAATGTATTTTGTACTCTGGCGGCCCCCTTTTCATAGTTACTAAGCAGATATAGAAGAAAGTGTGTTTTGGCCTAAGATGTGACAATGTTGTAAAGAGCAAGAGTTTTAGAGCCAGACAGATCTGTATTTGCATCCTATCTTGCTCGTTTACCTAAAGTAAACTTGAACCTTTGGCTTCATCTGTCAAATGGCCCTCAGAATAGTATGAGAGGAGGTATGGGAAGATTTGTACTTGTAAATGCCCATGTTATACCAACGTTACTGTAACTGATATTCCTATTATTCCTGTTTTATTATCAGTTGGTAAGCACTTAGTGCCAGACATCTTACGCGATGCTTTATGTACACATTCCCAGCAACAGGTCTATAAAATAAGTACTTCCTCTGTCTTACAGGAGATGAAACTAAAGCTTAGAGAGGTTTTATTAATTTTCTTGAAGTAGAATTAGGAGTCACAATCATGGCTGTTTGACTCAGTTGTTGCTCATAGCCATTGTTTCACACTGCCTCTTACCTGAGTCGTCGTGATTTTAATGCCTCTTATTAATTTGTTTTCCTCCTTCAGGAGTCACATGCCATAGGAAAAAAGCCTGAAAATCCAGCAGACATGATTGAAGAAGGGGAACTTATCCTATCTGTGAATGTCTTATACCCTGTTATATTTCATAAGGTCAGTAGTAAAACCTTTTGGATTCCACAGATAATATGAGTGACTTTTGTCAGATGGTTTAGTTATTTGAAGAGTCATATTTCTTAGATAAAATAGCAAGCACTATCTCATCTGGCATCCGGCTTATGCTCTGGGGTTCTTTGTTTTAGAAAGAAATATTGTAAATGCGATCAAGTTGCAAATAATCTCTTGATTAATATGATTGCAATTTTAGTGTTGGGATACATACCCTGGTTTCTGCACTGGGAGCAACTGCAAGTTTATAGGAATCTGCATGATTCTAATTATATGTTGTCATGAGGGTTGCTTTTCCCCCCAGGAGTGGAGTGACTTTTGTTCACCAGCTTAGAATATTTGGGAAGTTATATAACTAAAGACAGCTCTTCTTTGATGAAAATGCACAAAGTTAACAGGTCAGGGGTATCTAGGAATTCCTTAGGCGTCTCTAATAAAAAGAACTATCCTGTACCAGGGTGTATGTATTATTATTATTTTAAATATATTTTTATTGATTTCAGAGAAGAAGGGAGGAGAGGGAGAGAGAGAGAGAAACATCAATGATGAGAGAGAATCATCAATCAGCTGCCTCCTGCACGCTCCACACTGGGGTCTGAGCCCGCAACCCGAGCATATGCCTCCTGGTTCATAGGTCAACACCCAACCACTGAGCCACACCAGCCGGGTGGGTGTATGTATTCTTGATTCCTCAAAAAATGTTATACACTTTGATAAGGTTAAATGCAATATTACTGTACATATACTGCACTTGTGAATAATTAGGCTTTTCTGAAGCATCTGGAATATACTAGTAGTTAGTAGTAATTGTCTTGTTTGATGAAGATCTTAAATTGCCAATCAAAACCAAACCAATACAATGGAACCTCTGGGTTTATAACATTACAGAAGTGAATAGATTACTTGACTTCAGTGTGGTAACTTCCAGGACATTTTAAAAGAGAGTGCTGCTGGATGAAGTTAAGAGTCCACAGGCTTTTCATGCCGATGTCATTTCGTAGCATCTTGATTTTAAACTTTAGTGTAAACTAAAATAATGTTCTATTACCAACTGTCTGAGTCCATTCCGGCTTCTGTAACAAAATATCACTGCCTGAGTAGCTTATAAACAACAGAAATTTATTTCTGACGGTTCTGAAGACAGGAAGTCCAAGGTCAGGCTGCCAGCATGGTCAGGTTGATGACTTCTCTCTCACATGGCAGAAGGGGCTAGGGAGCTCTGTGGGAGCTCTTTTATTTATTTATTCATTAAAAGAATTTTGCCCTAACTGGTTTGGCTCAGTGGATAGAGCGTCGGCCTGCGGACTCAAGGGTCCCAGGTTTGATTCCGGTCAAGGGCATGTGCCTTGGTTGTGGGCACATCCCCAGTGGGGGGTGTGCAGGAGGCAGCTGATTGATGCTTCTCTCTCATCGATGTTTCTAACTATCCCTCTCCCTCTCTGTAAAAAATCAATAAAATATATATTTTTTAAAAAAGAATTTTACTGAACCCTAGTCAGTGCTCAGTGGTTAGAGCGTTAGCCTGTGAACTGAAGGGTCCCAGGTTTGATTCCCGTCAAGGGTAGGTATTTCAGTTGCAGGCTCGATCCCCGGCGCAGAGGCACATACGGGAGACAACCAGATGTGTCTCTCTCACATCAATGATTCTCTCTGTCTCTCCTTGTCTCTTCCATTCTCTAGAAAATCAGTGGGAAAAATATCCTCAGGTGAGGATTAACAAACAAACAAAAAGAATTTCATTGACTTTTAGAGAGAAAGGGAGAGGGAAAGACACAAAGAAACATCAATACATCAGAGCAAAACATTGGCCGCCTGCCTCCTGCACACCCCCACCCCACCCCTAGGGATTGAATCCAAAACCCAGGCATGTTCCCTGACTGGGAATAGAATCAGCATCCTTTTGGTGCACGAGATGATGCCCAACCAACTAAGCCACACTCGTCCAGGGCTTGCTTGCTTTTTTTTTTTTTTTTTAATATTTTATTGATTTTTTACAGAGAGAAAGGGAGAGAGATAGAGAGTTAGACACATCGATGAGAGAGAAACATTGATCAGCTGCCTCCTGCATATCTCCTACTGGAGATGTGCACGCAACCCAGGTACATGCCCTTGACAGGAATCGAACCTGGGACCTTTCAGTCCGCAGGCCGACGCTCTATCCACTGAGCCAAACCGGTTTTGGCATTGCTTGCTTTTTTTAAATGAGAGAAGTTCATTGATAAAGTGACAGAGATAGTAGAAGGGCCCTTGGCGCTTAGGAGAAAGGCAGAGGTAACACGTGGGGGGGTGGGGGGAAGGGGAAGGCGTGGGCATGCTCCTGGAGCCGGGGATAAGAGCACTAATCCCACCCATGAGCACACCCTCATGAGCCAGTTTCCTCCCAAAGGCCCCGCCTCCTAACACCGTCACTTTGGGTGTCAGAATTCCAACATGAATGTTTCGGGTGGACACAAACTTTCAGACCGTCGCACCAAGTGTCTCAGTTATCCCCAAGGGTTTTAATTTATGCAGGTGACTGCGTGACAACAGCAGAGGCTAATGCCACGGAAAGAAGATTTTTATTACACTTTCTGAGAGGAGGAGGTGTGCCGTGCTATGTAGAGCCACAGGGGAAGCACCAGTGTCAGTCAGGAGGCGGAAAGGAGGGAGGGGAAGGCAGAGACCACAGCCTTTATTAGGGTTTCTGCAAGGAAGGCGTGGCAGGAGAGTAGACAGTTGGGGCGGGCTAGTTTGAATAATTCTACTGGGCTCTGGGGCACAGGGGTTGTCTGTACCTCGATTTAGGATTGTTATGCCCAGATTTCAGGATCCCCAAAAGACCACCGGGGAGCCAGCCGAGTCCGAAGCAGAGTCTTTATTCGAGTTAGCTCAGCTCCCGACCACACTCACTGATGCAGCGGCAAGCAGCAGAGAGAGCTAGCTCTGTGTGAGAGGGGTTTTATAGGGGGGTTGGAGTAAGGGGAGGAGAGAGGACTGTGGGCTCTGCCGATTGGCCAGGCGCAAGTCGGTGTCTTGTTACACAGGATGTGGTCGTATCTATGGCGCGCACTTCCCTTGATTGTCATTGCTTAAAGAACTCCTAGGTGTGGCTAGCAGAGGCTTGGGCTTCTGGGAAGAAGCTCCTTGCTGAGCACATGGCTAAGGCTGCTGCCCAAAAAATGGAGGATCCGGGGTAAGATGGAGGGCGTAGCCCTCGCCCTTTCAGGATAAGTGAGAAGTTGGCTTGGTGTGTGGGAGTTAGATTAAGGAGGTGGGCTCACGGTATAGGCTCTGTATCACAGAGGAGATGGAAACAGCTTTGGCCATCAGTTTGGATCTGTACCTAATGAAGGCCAAATAGACAAATACGGAATTTAAGAAAACACAGAACACCAAGTTAGGAGGATCACTTAAATCAAGAAAACCAATAACATAATTCAGATCTGATCCTGACAGGATTTGTAGTTAAATTGCTTATCTCTAAGCGGACACTTATCTACTTAACTGTTTGACTTTTAGCACAAAGAGCACAAACCATACCAGACGATGCTGGTACTGGGCAATCAGAAGCTCACGGAACTAAGGGACTCAATTTGCTGTGTCAGTGACCTCCAGATTGGTGGGGAATTCAGCAACACTCCTGACCAGGCCCCTGAGCACATCAGCAAAGTAAGGTGATTTTTCTTTTTTATTACCCCCATAAAGCAAGAGGAAATAAGAGTGCTAAGCTAAGGACGTAATGGTTACTCTAGCACAGTGGTCAGCAAACTGCGGCTCGGCAAACAGCGGCTCAAGAGCCAGATGCGGCTCTTTGGCCCCTTTTAGTGTGGCTCTTCCACAAAATACTGGCTCTTCCACAAAATACCGACTTCTGCGCATGGGCCACGGAGTTTCAATTGCACTGTATGTGCGTGCCCGCATGTGGTATTTTGTGGAAGACCTACACTCAAGGGGCCAAAGAGTCGCATGTGGCTTGCAAGCCACGGTTTGCCGACCACGGCTCTAGCAGGATCATCAATATTCCAGTCAGTGCTTTCTTCTTCTATCCATTCCCTCAAAACCTGTCTCCACTCTGCTCTTTATCATCAAGACCTTTTCAAAGCTAATCAGTTTTGATTTCCTCATGTCCTATTCCTTTTCAATCATTCTTTGTACATGCTTCCTTCAAAGGTCATAGTAACCACCTAACTGTTTCACCAGTTGATCTCTCTTCCATGTTGATACAACTTGATTTCACTGTAGCATTTGAACTTGCTGTTCACGCTCTCCTCTTTCAAACTCTGTGTGAGTTTGTTGTCACTGCCCCAGCAAAGGGTTGGAGTATAGGTGAGAATCTCATTGCCCATAGAAGGACCTGTCTGTTCGAGGACCCAATATCAAACCGGGATGTCGCATCTGATGTTTGTCATTGCTGGTGGTTCTCTGGGTGAAGCTCTCGAGAGGACAGAGAAACCGACATACTCAATAGATAATTATGCAAAGGACTGGTAGACTGCTATCCAGGGCCTTTTCAGAAGGGATCTCTTGCCCAGTAAAGTAGCGGGGCCTTGATCCTCCAGAATTTCATGATGTGCAAGCTTGAACTAACTCTTTTACCTGGTTCAACCAGCAGAGGACTTCAGAATTACTGGCCCGCTTAGGAGGGGCAGCACCTCCCGTAGAAGAGTGAAAGAGGTTTGGATCAACTAGAATGGAGACAGAGTGTGGACAAGAGCCATCACCATCTCCATTTTTATTTGTTCCCGTGCCACCAGCCACATAGACGTTAATAACTTAGGTTTTGTCTTACTTGTTCTTATTCTAATTGTTCTCCTGAACTTTCCCCCAGTTTTCATGGTTTTAAGCAAACTCTAATCTTGGTTCATCTCTCCCTGTAGCCACATTCTTTCCTGATCTCCAAGCTGTTAATTTTTAGCACCTACTGGACATGTTGTTTTGTTCAGTGATGTTTATGTCTTTATTCCCTTGATGGTGTCTGGCACAGAGGAAGTGCCCAGATAGTTGTTGAATAAATGAATAAACCACAGAAACCTCAAGCTCAATGTTTAATGGATGACTTGCAATTTATTTTTTGTTTTGATTTTTTATTTTATTGATTGATTGATTGATTGATTTGAAAAGAGAGGAAGAGAGAGAAACATTGATTTGTTGTCCCACCTACTTATGCATTCACTGGTTGATTACTGTATGTGCCCTGACCAGGGATTGAATCCGAAACCCTGGTGGGTTGGGATGACACCCCGATCAACTGGCCAGGGCGTGGATGATGTAGGATTTAGATGGAAAACATTTTTTGTTCTTTTAGAGTTCCCTTCTAATCTACCTATATATATATAAAAGCCTAGATGACCGAACAACCTGTCCACCGGTTGCTGTGATGCACACTGACCACCAGGGGAAAGACGCTCAACACAGGAGCTGCCCCCTGGTGGTCAGTGCACTCCTACGGTGGGAGCACTGCTCAGCTGACCGATGGGCGCCAGACGCAGGGCTCACAGCTGGCTGCCGCAGCCCGGAGACCTCAGTGGAGCGGCAGTGAGCCTACAGTGGGGCCGGGATGAGAAGGAGCAGCAGGCAGGAGCAGTAGGCTGTGTTGGACTGCGGGCTTCGGCCTGATTCCTGCAAGCTACGCCGAGTGACCCCACCAGTGCATGAATCCGTGCACTGAGCCTCTAGTTAAAGATAATGCCAAGGAATTAAGTTGCCTAAGTCACTTAAAATGAAGTTCTGTAGAAACATTTGTAATGAACAAAATTTTATATACAGTAAACTTTCTTTTTGTTTCCTAAATAAGGCAGTATTTATTCTTTCAGAACCTTTATTTTGGACCCTGGCTGACCTCTTTGAGAGTCTAGAAGTATATTAGGTGGCAGATTTTGTGTTAGCAGCCAGACATGGCATTATTATATATCATATCCTGTTATCTCTGCAACCACCTGGGAGGAAGGTAATGGTTTCACTCATTTTCACGAAGAAAAAGAGGGTCAGGGAGATTTAGTGAGCTGTCAAGGGGACACAGCAAAGCTGGTCTTGTAAGGGTGTCTGGTTGTCACCTTGTAAAGGTAACACCAATGCCTGACCTGTAAATGGGACAATGAAAAAAATAGAAACTTTAAAGTCCTAGCAAGAGATTAGGTTATCTTAAGGTAAAATTATTTTAATACCTAAAGCTTATATATCTTTTGTAGTTCATACACTGCTTTTGATTCTCATCACAATCCTGTAAAATAGCATGCCAGGTATTATTTTGATTTTACAGGTCCGAGAGGGAAGTGTAGGTTAAAGAAGAGAACACAGGGGTCTAATTCTAAGAATATGGCGAAAGACAAGTCTAACAGAGTGGTTCTCAGCACAGGTTGGACATTTAACCACTGGGGGAGCTTGGGACAACACTGGTGCCTGAGACACATCTTCAGGGCGTCTCATTTCATAGATCTGAGATGAGACTTAGTCTTTGATGGTTTTGTGATTCTGTTACGTAGTTGGGATTGAGAGATACCCCTGTGACAGGAATTCTGATAGCCTGAAAGTTAGAAACCTAAGGTTCAGCCCTGGTCATGTGGCTCGGTTGGTGAGCGTCGTCCCGTGCACCGAGAGGTTGCCGATTCAGTTCCAGGTTAGGGTACATGTTGGGGTTGCCGTTTTGATCCCCAGAAGGGTGCATGAAGGAGGCAGGTGATCCATGTTTCTCTCTCTTCCTTTCCCTCTCTCTCAAATCAATAAAAACTCTTTTTCTTTTTACATGTGTCAGTACTTTTAATGTGTACATAAAATTATAGTAAAAAGACAACTATAAACAAGATGTAGCTTCTCCATTTCCATGGTCAGCTCACTGCATTATAGTAAACCAAGTTTATATTCCACCATCAAGTGTGGTTCTCCCATTAGTTCACTTTGTGATGGGTTATTAAGAATATCTTCAAATCCAGTAGTCTCATCATTACCCTCAAAATATCTAGTGAAAGGTTTAAGATTAGAAGAAACGGAAGACACTGAACTTGTTGCACTGCATTGAATTCCATTTGCAATTTTAGTGGAGCAAACAGACCTTGGATGTTTCTCAGTGTGGAAAAATTCATTTTATCTTGGTTGAACTGGAAATTTTTTTCTAATAATTGAAGAGGATGACTGGGCAAAAGTTCATTTTTCACATAAGAAAAACCTATTTGAAGAAGATCATGACTTTTAAAAGATCCACTTGCTGATTGCTCACTAACTAGAGTACTGTCCTTTAGCTGAGGTGAAGTCCTCTGGTATTCATCTTTAGCTCACTGTGCAAACAACCTCGCAAGCCCGGTAGCGTCAGCCAGCCAATAAAAATAAATTATAAAAAAGAAAAGAAAAACGTAAAGGTTCAGACCAGTTGTGCAACTACTATAGTACTTTGGGCAAGATTGCTGGAGTAAGAATAGAAATTCACATTCTGCCTGCCTAAGAGTTATTGAATATATAAAGAGGGAATTTTTATAAAAGCACATTGAAAAAAATTTTAAATGACAGATAAACATAACTATGGTTATTATCACTGGGAAACACCAAATATATGGCTGTTTAGTCTTTGATTCTAGTATCTAAAATAACTGTCATTGCTGTATGCATATAATAATATTGAAGTTTATTTCATTTCTATTTGTATTTCTTTCATGAATCTCAGAATATACAAATTTAAATCAAACCTAGATTAAAATAGCAATAGGATAAAACTTTATACCTTTATGCCTGGTAACTAATATAATATTTGTTACATAGGAGGTTTCCATTAAATCTTAAACAGATTATTAAATGGGCTGAGCCTATTCTCTGAAGTTGCATAGTTATTGTTAAATGTATTAGTGTAATTTTATGTCATACAAATTTTGATTTAATACTTAGAGCAGTTTTATAATTCCTTTTTCTCAATACCATTTGTTTTCTTATAGGACATATATAAATCAGCCTTCTTTTATTTTGAAGGAACATTTTATAACGATAGAAGATACCCTGAATGCAGAGATCTGAGCAGGTACAAATTCCAAAATCTTCTCAAAGTCTTTCCAGTTTCTAGTTCTCAAAATGGTATTGTCTCCACAAATCCTTTAACTTGTCTGTTAAGGATATTTGCCAGGGAATTATTTTATTAGTTTTTGTTAGGTTTGGGGTAAGAAATTCTTCCCATTTTTAAAATATGTGAAAAAGGTTGGTTTAGGTACTAATTAATCAATATTTTTATTCCAAGAAGAAAATTTTCCTACCAAAAGTACACGTCAGCCATTTCAGGATCTTGCTGGCTCTCCAGAATTGTTTTTTAAATGTATTATCTGCTATTTTAGAAATTACACTAACTCATTTGAGCCTTAGATACATCTAAAAAAGAAACTAAATCCCCTTAAACAATTTATAAATGTCTGTTCTTTGTATTAGATGATAGCAGTAAATCTGTCATTATTTTTCTGCTTGTTTAAGCGTGCACACTTGTTGGCTCTACGTGATATATATAGTTGCTTAAGTACAAAACATGAAAAATTTGCATCTAATTATGTGTTAGATCACACTTTTAAAAAAAATATTTTTGTTGATTTCAGAGTGGAAGGGGGAGAGGAAGAGGGAGAGAGAGAGAGAGAGAGACATCAATGATGAGAGAGAATCATTGCTTGGCTGTCTCCTGCGTGGCTCACACTGGAATTGAGCCTGCAATCTGGGCGTGTGCCCTGACAGGAAATTGAACTGTGACCTCCTGGTTCATAGGTCAACACTCAACCACTGAACCACACTGGCTGGGCAGACCACAGTTTTATTATCACTGTCCTCGCAAGTAGAGTTTATACATATATTTTTCTGAATGTTTATATAAATTCTCCTTCATTTTGGCCATTTGTATTTATATTCTAATGTAGCAGTTCTCAATCTCGGCCTCAGCACTTCTTTATACTGTAAATAATTGAGGACTCCCAGGAGGCTTTTATTAATGTGGGTTAAAGCTATCAATATGTATTAGCAATTCAGACTAAGAAATATTTTAAATAATGACTAATTTAAACATTAACATTTTTGTGAAAAATAACTTTTCAGAATAAAATAAAATAGATGAGTGACATTGTTATATGTTTTTCATTAAGTCTGAAGTGATAAACCATGTCATGTAGCCTGCAGAAAATGGTTACTTATGAGAATATAAGAGTTGAAAGGGCAGCAAATAACATTTTAGGATTATTGTAAAGATAATTTTGACCTCATGAACCCCTCTGGGGTCTCAGTAACCACACTATGAGAACTGCTACTCTAATTGATGAAGAAAAATTCAGAATTCCTAATTCAACATATACCAACATTATGATTTTCATTTCAAGATGGTAACTGTCCAGTTAATGGGTGAGCCAAATTTTGTGAAGTACTGCAGTCACAAACTGTTGTCAGCCATTTTTAGTTTTTTTGTGGAGCAATCATACATATCTTTGCCTTTTTCCCCCACCTCAGAACTATCATTGAGTGGTCAGAGGCCCATGACAGAGGCTATGGAAAATTTAAGACTGCTAAAATGGAAGATTTCACCTTCAATGACTTACGTATTAAACTGGGTTTTCCCTATTTATACTGTCACCAGGGAGACTGTGAACATGTTGTTGTCATTACTGACATAAGGTAAGTGGCATTACAGAACATTTTGTTTTCCTTTTCTGTGTTTTGCAGTATAAAAGCACAGTTGTTGTATTTTTAATAAGAGGAATAAAAGTAATTATCGGTGCAGCTTGGTTTGGCAACAGCGAAAATAAGTGCTTTCCATTCAGTGACCAACTTTGCATCCTCTGTTATTCATTTTTGGGGAAATATATATAAGTAGAGGCCTGGTGCACGAAATTCGTGCACTGGGGGGGGGTCCCGTCCCTCAGCCCAGCCTATACCCTCTCTAATCTGAGACCCCTCAGGGGATGTCCGACTGCTGGTTTAGGCCTGATTCCATAGAGAGAGACATCGATTAGCTGCCATAGGGATCGGGTCTAAACAGGCAGTCCAACATCCCTCTCACAATCCAGGACTGCTGGCTCCCAACCACTCACCTGCCTGCCTGCCTGATTGCCCCTAACCA